TGTGTCATACATCATCTCACTGACGCTAGTCCTACGGGTAACACTCCGATTATCCACACGTAACAGATAAGGGAACTGAGGCACACAGGCCAAGTTACAGCCCACAGTCAGACAGGGGCACCCAAGTGTGTCTGTAGCCCCAGAGTTATGTGGTACCTCACCAAAGAGCCACAACCACCCCGACAGGCATGGAATTCTTGTTCCATTTTACAGATGGGGCTCTCAAGTCACGGAGAAGTTTCAGAATGGATCCAAGGTCACACAGCTGGTAAGTGGCCGAGCTGACATCTGGAACTAGCTACACCCTAAAGCTTTTCTTTTTAACACCTGCACATATCGCTTCAACCGTGGAAGCAAAGAAGAGTCCATAAAACGTAGATGTGGGGTGAGAGGGTCAGACGGTGGAGAAAAGAATATCCACAGCAAGCCCTTTCCAGTCCCTCTGAGGGCGGCGCGACCTCATCCACGGGCTTACTTTAGACCTCTGTCATCCCTCTCTTAAAGCCAGCGCCCCGAACGGCCCCCCACTGAGGCCTGCTGTTAACCCCATGCAGACATTGCACGTCTGAGTAGGAACACCAGCCAGCCACCTGCCCCGTGGATGCGGGGTTTCATTGTTCCCTCCTTTACGGAAAAGGACTGGAATACGACACGTGACTCAACCACTTGGGTCTTTTGCTTATCACACTGGGCTCCTGCCCAGAACTGTGGGTAAGAGCATCGGTTTGGGAGACAATGAGCCACTGGGTCAAATCAGAGTTTTGCGACTTACTAGCTGTGTGACATTGAGCCCGTCACTTCTCTTCTCTGAGGTCCAGGGTCCTCTTCTGTGAAATGGAGTAATGATAGTATCAACCTCATTGGATTTCAAAGATTAAATGTGAGAATACAGGCAAAGTGTTTTAGCTCAGGTCGTGGCTTAGAGGAAGCCCTCAGTAGATGAGAGCTCTGACAGTTCTTCTGGTTCTGAATGATGATGTTCTCTCCCGGAAGGGTTTGCTACCTTCCTTTGTGTTCTAACCAGAAGGACGGCTAACACTCAGCTCTCTCCATGCATCAAGTGTCGTTCTTCACATTTTAGGGATATTACTGTAGTCAACCCTTCCTAAGCCTTATAGGATGGCAACCTTTACCACTCACATTCTACAGACAAGGAAACAGAGGCACAGTGAGGTGGTACGTCCCTGCTTGGGGTCCCAGGGTGGGACAGGCTGACTCCAAGGCCCGTGGTATTAATCTCTCCACTGTACTGACTCTCAGATGAGCCCCTGAAACCCCAGAGACCAGGGAGAACAAACAGACAGGGGTCAGAGTGAGCGGAGATCAGCAGAACAGGATGGGGCTGGGTGAACATTTGACTAAAATAGTACAGATTAAAGTTTTCAGCTTTGAACCAGTGGGACAAATTACGCATTTTCTTGCTTCCTTGGGCCCCTGACACTTCCCCCTTGGGGTCAGAATCAGAAGTCCCGAGTGAGGAAGTCTGGGGTGGGGGGGGGGGGGTCTTGCTGGTGGAGATTACAGGCCCAACTCTGTAGATCCAGGCCAAGGACAGTTGGCATTGTTCTCGGGCTTCCCGGAACAGCCTCAGGCTCAGGTCAGAGGGGCCGGGCTGCCCGAGCACAGAGGAGGGCAGTGGGCTGGGGGGCTGGGGAGAAGTTCTCTATCAAGTCATCCCCCTGTGTAGTCGGGGTGGAGATCCACCAAGGATGGGGCACCCATCAAGCTCTGCTGGGTCTGACCCCCAGCTCTATTTCCATATGGATCTGAACTCTCACTTGATCTTGTCACCTTGGACCGAATCTCCGAGAACAGTGAGGTCCTCCCACGTGAACTGGAGATAGCTCGCAAGTAGAGTTCCCCACCCCCTCCCCTCCCCTCTGGTCCTTTCCAGGAAGTGAGCTGGGGAGGCAGTCAAGCAGTCCAGCAAACTGCTCTCCTTTGCCACGTCTAAAATGCGTAAAAGGTTCTCCAGCAAAGGTCGCAGCATAAATTCAGCTGCTGCACACCACCTCTTCCAAGCAGCTGGCCTTGATTTACCACAACCACAGGGTACCATCCTCGATTCTCTTCCAAGTCCTCCAAATATTCAGTTTGTTGTCCTTCTCATAGGGATGCTAATTCCCTGTTTTCCTTCCTCGGCTTTTCTGTTAGAATGTAAGCTTTCTGATGGGTGCACACATTTACTTTTTAGTCACTAGTCCAAGAGGAGGTTAGGGAGCTCAGATGTTGCAAACCCCAATGCCTGCAGGGAGTCAGATAAGTAACAGATGAATGAAGCAGGCCAGGCATGGTGCGATAGGGTGGGAGAGAGACTGGGGCAAAGTGCTAAGGGCTAGCTTGTGCATCTACAATGGAATGACCACTCATCAGTCCCAACCAAATACTGCCAGACTCACGGTTGTTGGATCTTGAAAATACCCAAGAAAAATGGGATATTCTACACAAAACCTTCCGGTTTCTAAAGTTGAAATTAATTGAAGAAAATATAAAAAACTACTCTGCAAGCCAAAAGAGAAGCTGCATTTGGAGCGCAAGTCACCAATTCGCATTTCGCAGTCTCTGGGGCGCCTTCCAGATGTGATGTGTTCCAATTCTACAGCCCGGAGGTGCCGGCCCAGAACATGTGCTCCATAAATCCCTGCTGAATTGGCGATGAGTATGTGGCAGGTCACTGTCTAGCACCCAAACTAAGGATCTATGAAGGAACAATGTCATCACAGCATTTGGAAACTGACTTGTGTTGGAGAGGGAGCTCTCTCCCAGCGTGGAATTATTTGGTTTTGCTGCCTTCCAGAGTCCTTACATCTCTTCCCCTCTGCCTCCCTCCTTCCACGAGGCATGGAAGCCCAGAGTCGGGTCCTAGCAGTGATCAAGGCCCAAACCTCAGGATGTCAGGTGGGTAAGAAAGGAGAGCTTTACTCAGGCCTGGACGGGAAGCAGGGTTACATGGAGCAGTGACCAGGATAAATTAATAGTCTGTGAGGTACTTAACTGCCCCCAGCTATCTATTTTTCTTAAATCTTACTTTAATTTTTACACAATTAAAACCATATACCGTGCTCAGTATTAATAAATGTTAAGTCATGGTCAGAGTACAGAGTGTTTTCATTAATAATGGCATGATCAAGTGAAAAATTTGCTTGTCTCTGTCTTTCAATTAGTTATGTCTCAAGCAGCTGTGTTCTTTGCCCACAAGGCCGTGGTGAAGGCTTGTGGGTATAGCTGTGGGCCAGGGAACCAGAAAGAAATATGTGGACGCACAGGCAAATGTCTGGAGCCCCTGCATGGGAGCCTGCTGTCACACTACCTTCCTGAACCCCAGGATGGCCACGAAAACTCTGTGCCAGACAGCAGACTGAGCACTTTCCGGTCGCGACTTCTAATTTTCATAACACAACTTTTCTGCAAATATGTTCACTTCCAGGTAGAAACAGGACAGTTCTATGAAGTTAACTTGATTGTCTAAGATCAAATAGCTAATAAACGACAGGGCTGGGATTCTCACCTGGGTCTCTCAGACTGCAAAGCCTGTCCTCTTTCCATACCAGTGCATTGCCTGGAGCACTGTGTGCGTCCACTCTTTCTTACACATGACAAAGGGGTACAGCTGCCAACATTCTCCAAGGAACCACTGGCGGGGTTGAGATGAAACCCAGAAGTCAGAGCCCTATTTTTAGTACCAGGTGACTCTGGGAAAGCAAATACCTGAGACATATACTGTTACGCTCTAGCCAGGGCCCATGGCAGACATGACTAGTTGATTTCAGAGCTGCTTTGTATACTTTTGGCAGGCATGATCAATCCATTGCAGCTGGCACCTGTGAGAAAACAGAGCTGCCTTCCTTGGCCAGGGTCTCAGTGCAGCTGCAAGTGAAAGAACTTCCATAACACAGGTTGTAGAAGCTCTAGCCAGTCTGGCGGCCAGCAGAGATAGTGGAAACCACTATCTTAGCCATGTGACAGGAGAAGGGACAGGAGGAAAAGGAGAAGATGAGGTGAGGTCCCATGGGCTGTGGGCCAGGCTGGACAGGCTGGGGGCAGGTCTGGCAGGGGACCTTGTAAGTACATGGCGGGGCCGTGGGGTGCTGGGAGTGAAGGAGGAGCCAAGGAACTGGAGACATCTGAGCTGAAAAGAGTGAAAACACTTTGGATCTTACATTTGGCTTTCCAAAAAAAGTTTGGTTTGTTTTTCTGACATTTATTTATTGTTAAAACAGCTCTTTAAGAACATTAAAGGACATTTTGTGAAAGAAAAGCATCATCCCTCACCCCCCAGACCCCTGCTCTCCCACAACTGTTTCCAGTTTCTCTTCTTGCCTCTGATCCTCCCCAACACGCAGCCCTACGTTTGCAGAGCGGGAAGGGGAGCGCACGGACCGTGGCTCGCTGCCTCTTTCCCTGAATGTGACAAGGTAAACACATTCCCACATCGCGCAGCCTTCCAAATGCCATTTTTCAAAGAGCTGTGTGATAGATCATGATTTACCTAGATTTGTTGGCTGCTAGATCTGGAAGTTTCTATGTTTTTTTTTTTCCTATTTTATGCTACAGTGAATACCTTTGTGCAATTAGCACCCTTGATTTTTTCGTAGGCTAAGGAAGTGGGATTGTTGGGTCAACACAGAAATTTTGCATGGATATCGTTATGACTTTTGAGCTTGTTTCTGACGTCACACGTATAAACTCCCGAGAGTGTTTGTAGCCCTGTACTTCAAGCTTGGAGGTTAGGAAGCTTACTCCAGGTCACCCAGCAGAAAAAAGGCTCCACTGGAACCAGCTCATGTCCCTCAGGCTCTTTGTCCAAAGTTCCTGCACACCTGAGGGACATGTGCAGTGGCGGGTGGGGTGGGAGTGGGGGTAGGGGGTAGGGGGTAGGGGGCTGTTCAGGGGGAGGGGACACAGGAAATGGGGACAGAACCACAGCATCAAGAGGAGGGTGAAGTCTCTCTCAATTGTGCCCACCAGCCTCCCCTCCTTGTGGAATGTCCCTTCCCCACAGGAGGCCCTGTTCGACTCTTTAAAAATGAGAGGGTGCCATTTGGGTGGGGGCGGGTGGGGCAGGCAGTTCCCCCAGGACACCAGGTTGTGTTACCTGGCACTGACTCCCATGAAGGAGCTCACAGCAGGGAAGCATCTCCCCACTGAGCCTCTGCACAGAGCCCTCCACTCCACCTTCCTGCAGCTGGACAGCCCCAGGCTTGGGCTCTGGTGGGGAGGGCAGGAGAGTGGGAGAGCTCTCTGCAGAGGAAAAAGCTGGGTGGTCTCCAAAGTTCTGGTCCTTTTCTGCCCGAGGCACCAGGAAAGCACAATAAACACAGACTGAACAACCTCTTCCCCAGCCCAGCCTCAGCGCAGCCCCAGCCTCAGCCCAGCCCCAGCCCTAGCCCTGCCCCAGGCCTCCCTCTGCCCCTGCCTCTGCCCCAGCCCCAACCCCAGCCAAACCTTAGCCACTGAGAGCCCACCTTGGCTGAGAACATGCCTCACTGCCCAGGAGAAGGATCCGTCCGTTTAGCCCAGCCAGGCCTACCCTTCTCCCCACTCAGCCCACTGGAGTCTCGTAGGATTGAATGGGTGTGACTCTAGGTCATACTCAGTGCCACCCCGGGACCTCGCCCCTAGCTCGCTGTTACAACCTGGGGCTCCTCGGAGCTGCAGAGCCGGTGCCCACACCCAGGGCCAGGGCCTTCCTGGGGCCACGTGGGCCCAGCCTCCTCATCCAGCTGAGTGCTAGCCAGCCCAGAGTCAACAGTCACTTCTGGAGGCCTTGCCCTCCGTGTCCGGCACTGTCCAAAGTTGCTGCTGGGGTTACAGAACCAAAAAAAAGAGTGAGTCCTGGCATGTGACCTTGGGGAGTCAACCTCTGAACTTGGTGTTCTCATCTGTAAAATAGGGATGAAGCAGCACCTACCTCACAGGGGTACCTGTGAGAATTCCACGAGACAACGTGTGTGAGGCGCTCAAACTAGGACCCAACACACGGGACGTCCACATAAATTATTACATTTTGCATTGTTACTGTTCTTTCTTGTTGCAAGCAACAAACATTGAACAGAAATAATTAAGTGAGAAAATTCAGACATTGATAATGGCGGCGAAGAGGTACATGGTAACACACCGGAGGAGGCTGGGACTGGGGAAAGTGCTTCATCCTCAGGGGTAGAGAAAAGCTTTCCTGAGGAAGTGACTTGAATTGAAACTTAAAAAATGAGAAGAAGCCGGTGTAAGAGGATCCAAGGGCTGATCACGCCACACAAACCGTAACAAGTATAAAGGCCCTGAGGTAGGAACTAGCTTATGTCTCTGGGAAATAGCCAGTAGCTACCTGTGACCATTTATGTTAAAATGAAATAAAATTAAATTTCAGTTCCTCAGTTGCATTAACCCCACTTCAAGTATTAATTAGCCACATGTGACTAACGGACAGCACAGGTATAAAATATTTTCACATTGTAGAAAGTTCCGTTGAGAGGCTCTATCTTAGAGCTTTGGGAGAAAAGAAGAGATTGACACGAGATTTGGCAGGAAGACCGGGCAGGGGCCAGACCTCAAAGGATCTCGGAGGCCACGCTGAGGAGTTTGGTATTGTCCCCAGTGAGGAGAACTTTGTGGTGTCCAGACTTTGGCTTAAGGGTAGAGAAGGAGCTCCTTCCGATTCTTCCACTCATCTGAGGCAGAGGAATCCTCAAAAGTCAGAGCTGAAGGGGAACAGATGTGCTCACCGAGTCTGATAAACCTCCCAGTTCTGAAGAGTAAACAGGAATGCCACAGAAACCTCCAGGGACCTGGCACTTTCCCAAGGGATGCGTGGCTCCTTGTCCTGAAGTCTGGGGAGGAGCTTCTGGGCCTGGACAAAGGGTCCAAGCGTGGGTCCTGCACTGTGCCCCCCGGTTCCCCTTCAGAGGCTGAAAAACTGTCCCCCAGACACTGAAAACGCTGCCGTCATGAGTTCTCTTCTGGAGCTGCCTTGGCTGACAAGCACCACCTTGTCTTGGGGCCCCTCAGGGGCCCGGCCCCCACGCCTAACGTGGGATAGCACTGAAGGGCTGTCCCAGCTCCAGAGCTACCTGAGGGGGCTGAGGCCCTCCTTGAGACCATGCCACGGCTCAGGCCTTCCTTTCGCCCATTCCTGCTTCCTTTCTCCCCCTCCCATGTTGGACATCAGCTTCCCGGAGCCGGCAATCTGCCTCAGCCCCTCGGCTCACAGGAGATCGGCCTGTCTGTTAGTGCACGGGGGGCGGGGAGTGGGGGGAGACAGCTGAGAAGCCGGACAGCACAGCCCTGACCAGAGGCAGTGTCCTCCCCCAAGTGGGGGTGGCCACTGGGAGGTCCCCACAGGGCCCTGTGTTGAGAGAGCCGATCTGCCAAGCTCCCCCAGCCGCACAGTTTACACATGTGGGCCCGTGTCCCCTCCCCAGGCCTCCAAGAGCTGTGTTGTAATCAGCATACTGCTGGAAGCAAGGCCTAGGCTCTGAAAGAGTCCATGATGAGCCCCATTTCCCACAGTTCCCAGAGGCCAGAGCTGGGATTTGAGCTCTGGTCTTAGGTTCCAGAATCCACTCTTTTTGCCTGCACTGCACCATGTAGCCTGGACCCCCAGAGTTCCACACCCAAGCATTTGTGCATCGCTGGACGAATCCATGTTAAGGAATATGGACATTTGGCTCTCATCTCACCTGTGTTGGAGTCAAGAACCAAAGTGACCCCCTCTCCCTCCACCCCCTGCTCACTGAGTGCGCTTGATGGTGTGGCCACAGCTACTGTCTGTCATCTGTCATGGTCTCTCTACTTTTCCAGGCTCTACAAACATGGCTTTGATATGCTAACTGCCCCTAATGGAGACAGTGGCTATAAATCATTCAGTGGAGCCCAGGATGGTCAACCCAGGCTGCTCTCCTGATCTCTGACCTCGTCAGGAGCTGGCTGTGGGACCCGTGTGTATCCCAGGCATGGAGGCAGGACAATTCAGGGAAGCTGCAGTCCGCTAGGCAGCCCACAGTGGGCAAGGCCTGGAAGGAGGCCAGGAACATTTTGACTTCAGCAGATGGGAAAAAACACCCATAAAAGAGTCACTTGGGGATGACAGCGGTGACCCTCCCTGGGGACAAGCTGAGGCAGCCTGGGAAGATGTCAGGAGATACCCTTCTTGTTGCCAGCCCCTGAACACGGCACAAGACAATACAAGGCTACATAAGGCTTCTGAAAAGCCAGTTCCCCTATGTTACTAGGGCCAGAAAGTTCCTCAGGATGGGGGGCCAGGGTTGGAGAGGGTTGGGGCCTGGATCAAATGGAGATGTGAAAAAAAAAAAAAAAAGAAACAACAGCTTCTCCTCTCATTATAAAGAAATAAGAATAGAAAGTTGTTAACAGGAGGGAATAATCCCACAGTTCTTCCCAAGAGCAGGGAGGAGAGCTGACCTGGCCACTGAGTCTGATCCCCACTGTGGGCCTCCATGGGACAGGGCAAGGGGCCCGGCTAGGGCACCAGGACATCTCTGCCAGCTACCAGCTGCCCTCCTGGAGGAAGTGGGAAAGGGATTCCAGGGGGAGAGAAACTCTTATCTTGTCTCCGGTGAGACCGGAGAATGTGGCTGACGCCTGGAAATGACCTTCCTTGGGTTCAGGGCTAGAAACCTATTGCTCGAGTCTACAGTCATATCACCCGGAACACACCTGATCTTGCGAGCTAAGCAGAGTGTGGCCTGGTTAGTACCTGGATTCTAGAACATATTGCTTATAAGCACGGTGATTCAAAATACGTCTAAAATTCTAAGATATGGTCAAACAAACAAACAAAACCCATTTTGGATATTTCTCTTTGTTTTTGGTAAAACTGTTCTGGCAATTGTAGTCCATCGCAGCTGGAGGGGGACATGGAGACAAACCCCCTCATGGCTCAGACGGAGAAGGGGGTCAGGGTATCTTGGGCAGCTGGGTAATCCAGTGACAGCAGGAAATCCCATGCTGTTTCTTCTGTGGGGGGTGCTGTGTTCTGTTTTCATAAGGGGATGTGGGGGGGTCCCTTTCTGGTCCAATGCAACGTCCTGGTCCGCGTGTCTCCAGAAAGACACAACAGAATTCTGGGGCGGGGAAGACAGGTGAGGCAGACGGCATCTGGGGACATGGAAGGTCAGTGTACGCCTGCAGGCTGAACTCTCCTTCACTGAGCCTGATCTGTTTATACTCCTGACGTGCTGACAACACCAAATTGGACGTTTCCTTGGGGCTCCCTGAGCTGTGGAGCCCAACAGACCCAGGTTCAAATCCCAGGGCCTCTCAGTACCTGTGGAACCCCCAGCAAGTTTCTTTTCTTGTCTTTGAGCCTCCGTCTCATTATCTATAAAATGTAGCGAATAGTACCAGCTTGCAAGGTTACTGAGTGGGCCAGAGAGAGGGCCGGAGAGGGCCGGAGAGAGGGTCAGAAAGGCCTTGCACTTCATAAACACTCAATCAACTCCAGCTTTGCCTCTTGCTAGGGAGCCATCCCGGGGGTTGAATATATCTGCGTGGGTGCTTTTGATGTATCTCAGGCACTGTCTGCTCCTGCTTTGTCAGTAGCGGTGGACACTCAGGCAGCCGTCTGATCCCACCTGCTTGGCAACGTCTTCTCCAGAACCCCTCATCTCAGCTGTTCCAGTCCCTCCCCAACCTTGACCTAGAGGGCTTGAGCAAGGGACCCAAAGCCCAGGGTCCCAGGGGGTCCTAGAAGGCTTGAGCAAGGGACCCAAACCCACTACAGGATCCAGACAAGCGGGTAGAGGAAGGAGGGTGAAGACAGGGGCAAGAAGGGCTGTGTTTCCTGCACGCTGACTCCGGAGCCCGCTGACACTCATCCCTCTGGGTGAGGCTCTAGCCTTGTGCAAGGACAGGGCCCCCCTCCCTGCCCTCCTTCTCTCCCCCTGGGCCAGCCCTACTCCCGCTGAGGACTTGATGGGGAAAATCTATCGAACGTTCTTTCAGATTCTTGGCTGATTTCGTGGGGCCTGCCATATGGCTTTGGTGGGTCAC